TTAGATTTTCTACACTGCTGGTCTAAGACCCCCTCTCACTTGTCCTGGATTGAGCCAATGGTATCTACTTGAAGTACAGCTTATCTTTAAAAAGATAGGTAGACTCTTAATTTAAATACTTCAGGAGTTGGAGAATCCACCACATTCCTTGGTAAATTGTTCCTATGGTTAATTATCCTCACTGTTTAAAAAAAAATTTACACTGTGTTTCTAGTCTGAATTTGCCTGGCTTCATCTTCCAAGTACTGGATCTCATTATGTCTTTTTCTATTAGATTAAAGAGCTGTCTGCTATCAGAAACCATCTCCTATGCAGGTACTTGCAGACTGTGATCAAGCCACCCTTACTCTTCTCTAGGAGACCTTTAATGCCATACATTTCTTTGGTATCTCTCTACAAGGCATCTGCTCCAAATCTTTCATCTTCTTTGGATCTCCCTCCCAACCCTTTTCTATTTTGTCAACAACCTTTTGAAGTGTGGACATGAGAGCTGCACACACACCATGGCAGTGGTCTGGGCAGTGCTGTTTGTGAAGGCAGCCCAGCTCCCCCAGCCATGGTGACACCGTTCTGCTGAACACTCATGGCTCCCCAACCATGAGCCCAACACCTACAGGAGTCTCTTTCCTAAATGGGGGAGCCTCATTCACTCGCCTTGCATTATTAAAAGGTTGTTTATCATCATTTGCTTGAGCTGCAAACTTAATCAACTTTAATGTATTTCCAAACCCATGTGTAACCACATGTAGAATTCCGTGGAACCTTGCAATAGAGGATATGAATTCCTGCTACAGTTTGTTTTCCAGCTGACTTATCCATTGCTGAGAATGGACAACACTGAGTTTCCCAGAGAATATCCTTCAGAGACAAAAGCCTTCAAAAATAGGAGTCTGTTAGGCTACGTGCTATGTATCAAAAAACTGTGTCAAATCACTTGACAAGACTGTCTGTATTGAATTATTTGTTTGGCATTGCTTGTGCACCGACTGTCAGTTTTTTGTTGGCTGGAGTCTTGGTGATTCAGCCCAAAATTGAGAGGCTGATGGAGCTGCTGATCCACCAAAGCCTTGCATTCACAGCGGAGGGCTCCCCTCAGCTCTGAGATGAGGGCGACAAAGCCATGCAGGGGAATTCATGGTCAGAGCTTGCAACTTGCTTAGTGTACACCACTTGGTGCAGTAAATCTTAAAATACTCAAAAGCTACTGATGAAATAAGAAGTGTATTTTACAGTTGTTTCTTTTCAACTGCAGGAATAAACCATGCATGTCCTTTAGCACACCAAGATCATTAATTCAGCTTCTCTCAGCAAACACTGGACCATTACTGAGCCATCAGATGCTACTGTCCTCCGCTGCCCGTAACTTTTAGCTTTCTTTGATGAGTGCCTGTATTTCCTAACAGTTTTCCCATTATTATTTGTATGCTCCTAGATTCGTGTTCTTAATTCATGCAGAGAACCATGCTGCATATGTACATCATTATTTGTATGTTGACTGATGGACAGTATATAATATGTGATGTTTTGCTGAATTAATTCCATCCTTCAGCCAGGACAGATTTTCAAACAGCCTAATTTTAATGCAGACTTTGAGAGGGAGGAAGGAAGCAAGCAGCCTTGTATTCCAGGCTGCTGCACGGATGGGACAGAAGTGGGAGCAAATCTGTAAATCTGTCATTTCAGCAGGACCATTCATTGTGCAGGCAGCACCCTCGAGGAGCTGGGCAGTCTGCAGCCCTTCAGAAGTCCTCTGATGGTGGCTGTTTCAAACCATTACCCACGTTCTCCAAGATGGAAGGTGCTGCTGGCCTGCTCCTGTTCTCTCTGAGGCTCAGCAGTGGTGCAGTGAAGTCTGGTCTGGTGCTCTGAAGTATCAGCTTCTGGTGCTGGCTGGTGGCATGCGTTCTCTGCAGCATGGGAAGCCACAGCACATTGGCCAAGGGTGTCCTGAGTCTGGCCACTTCCCCAAGGTGCAGTGTTAGAAGGATTTGCTGGACTGATGTGGCATGGCTGCTCCAGTATCCGAAGGAGATTTTAATGCAACAGCTTGAGAATCAAAGCAACCCCTTCCTGACTACTGCAGCTCCCAGCAGAAAGACACAACAGCTACAGGATTGCAGACAGCACATGGCGATGCTGAGACAGTCTGGGCTCAGTTTAGTTAGTAACAGAAAGATCCCTGGTTCCTTACCACTGCTCTGCAATAGCAGAAGCTGGACTGTATGCTTGCTATCTCCCACTGAATAGAACCAGTACCTCCTTGTCTGCGGAGCAATCTGTGCTTGCAAGAAGGCTCTGCACAGGAGGTAGCACTGTGTGGAAGATGCCCAGTGCAGACTTCAGCAGCTGAACTGGGACATGCCTGAATCTCTCCTCCAGAAACAGCAGCAGCCTGCCCCAGAAGTGATGGGGCACTTGTGGCCTGGGATGCAGTCAGCAGCAGGACAGGTCATCCCCACTAAGGACAGCTGCAGCTCACAAGAGATGCCAGCATGGCATGCTCACCGTGTGGGATGGGCTCCGGGGGCTTCCTGCTGCTCCCTCCTTTGCTGTTCTGGGGACAACCAGCCACCTTTGTGGCTTTTTGTGATTTACTCCATGCAGCTGCAACATGCAGCTGGGATAAAGGAAGGGTCTTTCCTTACTGCTAATTAAAGGTGAGCACAGAATGTATTTTTAATAGGTGCTCTCCATACTAAACGTGCACGAACATATCCTGTTTTCCGTGCTGCCCAAGGGTATCCTGCAGCACCCAGCCTGACCCTGCCCCACAGATGTGCCCACCCCATCACACAGCTGTCTCCCAGTAATGTCCAGCCAGGGACAACAGCAAGCAAGCATTTGAGACTTCCCTGTCTCTTCCCTCTATAACAGGACAGCTGGGACAAGAAACACCACACTGGTGTGCGTTTGGCTTCCATTCAGATGCTTTGCTTTTCAAAATCACACCAAGGAGTGTGCCTTCTCCTTCGACTCATTACCCATCTGGCTGGCATTGCCCCAAAGGTTTCAGCAGGACGTCTGTCCTGTGGCCACATCTGCTCCTTTCTCTGTGTGCCTCTGCGGTTTTTGTGGCACGGGAATGCCTGTTTTCCTGTGCAGTTCCTATGCAGCTTTACATTTAACTGATGTGAGTTATCCCCTAACATGTGCAAGAGTGGACTAGAGTCACATCCTATCCAGAAGACCTTCAGTTTAGTCAAAACCTAACAAATGCATCATTTAGCAATATCTTGCAAGGACTTTCCTTGCAATGACAAAAAAGGATTTCCTTGCAATGACAGTGACAAAGAGTGACGGACCAACCACTCCTAGGAGGGCAAGCTGTACCTGATCACGGTGCTCATCCCAACCACCAGTCAGCACCAGCAGTGAAGGCTGAAGCTGATGGACCAGATAAAGGGAAGCTGCTTTTCAGCCCCGGCCACTAATTCATCTCAATTCAAACGTGAGTTCTCCAGCAGCTTGCTTGAGCTGTGCTGCAGTGAGCTGAGCTGTCAGCATGAAGCTGCACTGCGCTGTGCTGTGCTGCCTGCCCTCAGAATAGGGATGAGGTCTCCTAACTCTGCCTGGGTGTCACTGTCCCTGCAGCACCAGGAGCAAGCAGTACTCAAAGGGCAGCACTTTGCTGCACAACTCATCTCACACGGATTTGCAGCACGGACAGACCACGGCACTGCTGCAGACTCTGTATGCCCTCAGCACAAAGCACATGTGCAGTCCTAGCACTGCACCAGCACCGCAGCGCTGTAAGCCCACCGTGTCCTGGGCTCTGTCTGCAGAAAAACATCCCAAGACACTTTCTGTCTACTGTGGAAAGGACTTTCTTAGCAATTAAGCACATCAGCTTCCAAAAATAAAAGTCATTCTCACACCTTGGACTGATACATTACTCCTGGACAGCTCTGCTTGTATCGTGATAATGTCAAATGACAGCAGCAGAGGAAACCCTGTTGCTCCCTCTTTGTGTCACTTGTTTCATCGCAGCCTCTCTGCTCTGCAAACACTTTTCCATGGAAAAGTGCATAGGCATATCTGAAAAGAGCTCTTGAAGAGATTCAGATGGCAGCGATGAGGACTGGAGGTGATCACCATGCAGCAGGGAAACCTTCACAGCAGAACTGCCCTCAACTACAGCCACAAGTGTTGTTAGTTAAAAATACAGTCACACACATCCAGGAGCCAGCCTGTGACTTCAGGACGTTTTCTCACAAAAAGAAAAGCCGCTGTACTATGCTCAGGTTAACTCTTGATTAGAGCAGAGGACTCCTGTCTGTGGACACATAAGAAGACCAATAGTACTCCAGAACACCAGGTACTGAGCCCTCATGGCATGCATGATGCCGTGTAGCCATTCCTTCATAAATAAATATCTACTCTGTTAATTTGTTGTGGCTTCTAGAGGTAGGTTACTCTTCTGATACAACATGAAAGAGGATTAAAAATGAAAAGCAAGAAGTTAAGACAAAGCTAAGAATGGCCCCAGCAGAACAGAGCGGCGGTCCATCTCACCTACTGCATCACCTCTGACAGCAGTCACTGGAAAATGCTTTGGGAAGCACCATGAGAACAAGGCAGGCACTTCTCCCTGCACGTTTTTCCAGCTTTGTGATCTTTGGGGACATTTACATGTAGTCTATGGAATTTCTGCAGCAGAGGTTATATTCAAATCAGTGTTTAACCCAACTAACTGTGTTTAGCCCATTTGGGAAAAAAACCAAAACTAAACAAGAACAAACAAGCAACAACAAACGCCCTTAAAAGTAAGCATTAGGTGTTTCTGCCTGCTTTTTCTTATCATGGTCACCTGTGCAAGCAAAGCCCCTGCCAGTGGTGGCCGTGCAAGAACCACACATCCTGCAGTGCCACACACCAGTATTCCCTGAGCATCCCAACACCACCAGCACCCAGGCACACACGTGTCTGTGGCAGCCTGGCTGAAAACACTGCCAACAACAGCAAGCATCTCTCTCGTGAATTGAAGAACACATGCAACTTACTGTCCAGGTGGCTGACTTGGCTGTGCTGGATTGCTGGAAGGTCACCTCAAAGTGGTGGGGACCTGGGTAGTCAGTGTTGGAGGGGATGACAGGAGCTGGGGACATGGCGTCGAAGGTAGAGCTGGGCTGCGAGTAGGGTGAATGCGTTGGGACATTGGAGGTGTGCTCGGAGCTGTAAGGGCTGGTGGAGGCTGCTCTGCTGCCGATGCTCTGATCCATGCTGTTGTTCAGCAAATTAAACTGGGACTGGAGGAAGGGAAAAGGGGAGGAGGGAAAAAAAGAAAACACCAGCCAGTTTAGAGACATGGAAACCTCAGCTACACTTCTTCAGGACTTCAGGTGTCCTGTTACAGCTTCCTTAAAGGGCCAGCGTGCTGGAAAGTCAACCAAAATAGTTGTTCTGGGTTGGTTTGTTTTTTAAACAGGTCACCACTTGTGTAAAGGATAAACTCAACACATTTAAGTCGTCCCCTTTTATCAACTTCACCCTCACTGAAGGCAGCACAGTGCCAAGATCCCCAGGTTTCTAGCACATTTGACATGCAAAACCACTCTTTTGCAAGTAGGGGGAACAGACGTGAATTTTTTTGAGCTTTGCTAAGATGTGGGAAAAGTCCCACTGCATGGAGGGGGAGCGATGACCACGGCACTACACACATGACCACAGAAAGGCTCTTTTCTTCCCCGAAGTGAAGCAGGTTGGTTCTCAGCAAATTCCTGGAACCTCACCAGCCTCATCAGTGTTACCAATTTCCAGTAAAGGACTGCTCAGTGCCAGACCTCACAGCACTGATAACACCAGCCAAGCCTGTGGCCAGACCTCACGCAGGGCAGAGGTACCACAGGTACCAAACAGGTCTCTCACGGGAGAACTGATCCTGTGCTTCTGGGCTCAGCCTGGAACTGAGGCTGCTGGTGGCCAGTGGGGAGGAGAGGTCTTCTATCCAGAAGACAGAGAAAGAGCAAGGTTTTGGCCTCCACTGTAACTCCACATGACCCCTGCCTCCAAGCAGCTCAACCACAGCAGCAGCCTGGCATCCTGAGGTGAGCACCCCACAGCCAGGGCTCTGCATCCTGGCTGGCACTGACCACTCGAGTTGGTGGCAGTTGCTGATGTTGCCAGCCATGAATGCAATGCAGCATCTGCTCTGCGCAGCCCAGGCTGGTGCAATGCCTCCCGTCTGCAGCTCTCCAGAAGCCTCCGAGACCTTCATTGAAATTTTGGTTTTGCAGAGTGCTTTTTCCACTTGGAAAAGCTGCAGAATTCAAGCAGATTTAAAAGCCCTAGAGGAGAGACAGAAAAAGCTGTAGTTGCAATAGAACAGCGGGCAGCAGTGCAGCCCCTGCAGACACTGTTACGTGTTAGCATTGCCACCAGCTCACCTCAGCACCCCGACAACATGCCCCAAATGCCAGTCAGTTCCTAAAATCTCAGAGCTCCTGCCTTGCTTGCTAACAGATCACAACAATTGTGATGGCATTGCTCCAAATCAGACTTTTTCTGCACTCGTTCACTTATCACAAATGTACATGTGGGTGCCATTTCTGGAAGGAGTTCCCTTCCATGAATACGAAGAACCAGATCTGAATGGTGGTTTGTGTAATTCGTTTCATAGCTGGGGTGTTTGCTTTTAGTGGCTTTCACTGATGCCAGTTTAATTTGGGGAAAACCTCAAACTACAAAGTGCACAGCTGTGATGCAGCACGCTGCAAATCAGGTCACAGAGCAAACTCCCTTATTTATACATCTACTGGCTCTTATTCCAAAGTGCTGGGCCAAAACCTTGCTTTCCTTATTTATTTTCCTTATTCCATTTTTGAACAATTATTATCAGATATTTCCAATAAAAAACAGCAGCACTTTCATATGTGGGTACTGCCTAAGCAAAGTTGCAGTCTCAAAAGTAGCATGGCTAAAATAGCCTTAATCTTTCATCTGAAAATCAGGCCAATTGGGTTTTTTCCTTTTTCTGCATATTTTCCTGTGTCAGCGAATCACTGCTTGCTGTCCCCTCTGGGACATCCCACCCTGCTCTCACCTGCACCCGTCCCCCCGCACGGTGGGGATTGTGCCATCAGCTGCTGAGCAGTTCTGGGAAGCCTGGTGGGCAGCATGGTGTGTGAGCTGGACACAGAAGTGGGCTGAGGATGTGCCTGCTCCCTGGGAAGGCTGCAGGCTGAAAGGCTCACGACTTAGGAATCAGGAGACATGTTTTAACTTGGGATTCACACCTCACCCAAATGCGTTCGGTGTATAATGGCTTAAACGCAATCACCCTTCTGCAGGAAAGTTCTCCTGTTGTCTGCATCTATCATAAGGTTCTTGGAGTCTGTAACTAACTGGAGGAATGCTGAACAAGACCTGACTTGCTCTTACAAATACAGCCATTTTGTCCCCTAGAATATGTGCATAAACGCCTCTATTTCTTCTTGCTGCACTATAAATAGTCCTGATTAGCAACCCCCATCTGGGCTTTCCGCAAACCCAGATTTTACCAGGAAGAAAAACCATGAGAAACTTCAGCAAAATGGCTTTAGAGATGCAGGAGGGAAACCATGGCCACACCATCACAGCCAGCTGCCAGCAGGGACCTCGGGGACACGCAGCCCTGATGGTGAAACTAGCTGAAAGCTGGGTGGGAGATGTAAAGCATCGCATGGGAAGAGATCCTCAAGGAGAAAAGGATTGCTCTCGTTATGGCAGCACAGCCATTCCACAGCTCAAAGAATCCATGAATATCAAGATTGAGCAGGTTTGTTCTCTTGTGATGACTGGGACAACGGAAAGGCTTCAGGGAACATTCTGCACACACCCTGTACCCAACCATGGGTGTTTTCTTAGGAATAAATGGGAAGCGAGCGTTCCTCACTCGACAAGCAAACAAGCCGAGTTTCAGAACTGCCGTAGCACACGTAAGGGCACAGTCAGACAAAAGCAGGTTGGGTTTGCACTTTCAGGCAGATCAGAAGCGGGTGCCGTCCCAGTTACTCACATCCTGTCAAAATGGGAAATAAACAGGAAGCATTTTGCCTCCTGGCGAAATCTGCTAACCGAAATCTGCTCCGGAGCTGCAGTGCAGAGAGGGGTGAGATGTCCCCTGGACACGACTGAAAAAAAAACACACAAAAAAGCAGTCCTGGTGGGATGCGTTGAGATTACAGTGGTTAGAGCTGGGGCTGTGTGGGGCTGAGGTGCGTGGCAATGGAGCTCAGTGGAAGGGTGAATCAAGGCTGATGAACTGAGCAGAGCATCACGACCACCCTGTGGGAGAGAGACTTCCCTTGACAAACCAGAAACCTCACAGCAGACCCATGAACAGCACTCAGTCATTTCTGTTAAAGTGAAGTTGTATGTGACATAAAAGAGTGCTTTCTCTTATCACCTGAAACAAATGAATCAGACTCATTGAAGTCAGACGATGCTCAGGACATACAAAGGTGGGAAAGCCAGCCTTTGTAAATTAGAGGAAATTTCATTTCAGACCTTTTTCAACCCAACTAATACTGCATGTTTCTCTGCATGTTTTATGATTTATCCTGCTCATAGCACAGTTTGGTTACAAAGCAACAGGCAAAGGCCCCAGTTACTTGGATTTGTAAACCTGTTGGAAGCGATACTCAGAGCCAAGTGCTGTGTGTACAATGACTAACTTGGTTTTTAAGATTGAGTAGGTTTTGGAAGTATTCCCTTAACAGACAAATCTAAGCAAGAATATTTGTCTGTTTGTCAACAAATCCAACACAGTGCTTGTGTATGAATGTGTGCAAATATATACATGTGTTTATACACACACATTAATAAGCACATGATTGCAGAAAGGACACGTCAAGCAGCAGCACTACAGCGCAGAGCAACACAGTACATATGTGGTTTTCACTACTTGTGTAAGACAAAAAGGAGAAATCAAATAATTTCCAATCGGGAAGCACACCAGTGCACCCTTCTATCTATAACTATATCTGCATCTAAATTTTTTGAATGCCAGAAAGCTGACACAAAAACCTTTTGACTAAGAAATCAACCTCACTGCTTGAGGACAGGGCTGAGGCTACATCACCTGCAAGCACAGGTGCCATTGCATCTGCCCCACCCTCCCAGCAGCTTTAAACCAGGAAAGGCAAAGCTGCCTTAGGGATGTGGGTGTTTGTTGGGAGCTGCAGTCCTTGTGCCTGAGAAGGTCTGAGGAGAAAACTGAGCTGGGCTTGGCAGGTAGTGTTTCCACCAAGGGATGCTCACAGCTGCCCTTAGCCTTCAGCCAGGTTTCTCCAATGCAAGCATGGACAATTTGCACGTACAAAGAAGACAGGGAGCCTGTGCTCGCTTACATGAAAGGTTTAAATCGTGCCTATGTCTCTGCAGAGCACAACACAGGAGCAGACAAAACATGAAAGAAGCATAGACTGAGCTAGTGAAGCTGCAACAATCCCAGGTAGGCACAGTTCATTTTCTTTGAGCTGTCAAGTGCCTCAGATACAGAGGAGCACTACGTCCAGTGCATCCCCAGCACGTCCCAGGCAGCATTGTGATGGCTTGGAAGCAGAGCCAGGACACAAACTGAGCTCCTGCTGCAGTGGCAGGGAGCAGGCACAAGCAAGAAGCAACGAGGTAAGACCCGTTAACAAAGAGTAGCACCTACCGTGGTATAATGCTGCATCGGGTCACTGATGTACAACATTTTAGTCTTCTTGGGATTTATAGACAAGTGGGAACTGTCCCGCCAGAGGAGTCATGGGGTCGGGAGGAGATGGAGCCAAGCAGGGAGACGCAGTGCTGGAGCATGAGGTGCAGGACCGGGGAGGCAGTGCCAGGGATGCTGCACTGACCACCTGTGTGCGGTTTGTTGGCTTTTTTGCTTTTTTCATCTCCCTTAGTTCTGTCAACTAGCTGCATCCAACAACAAAACGGGGCCCACCCCTTTCTGTCCCTCATGACTATTCATTAAAATGCAGGGCAGGCCCCAGCTTGCCCAGTGATGGACGAGGCTGCACCAGCCAGTCCCACCAAGGGGAGAGCGGGGGTCCTACTCTGCAATTAAACCCAGCCAGATTTAATTCCAGAAAGCTGCTTGTGGCATTGCTGGAGTCAAAACCTATCTGACCAGCACCCTTCACCTACAGACTGCGCTGGCCTGGGCATGCTGATGCAGTGACCCTGCATCCAGTTTGCACTTTGGAGCTATAATAGCATTGTGCCATCACTCTGTCCCTCTATTCACCCCAGGCTGGGGGATTCTTTCCACTGAGTATCAGTGGCATTAACAAACCACATGAACAGCTCAGACTGGAGCTACCCTGGCTTAATTGCTACTGGAGGTCTCATTGACAAAAATGCCTGGAGACCAGGCGGCCACCCTGTCCCAGTGCCACATGAAAATCCAGTAACAAATGCTCTTTTTCTCCCTGTCATCCCACCTTATTTCACTGGATTTAATTGTTTCATTGACTGGATTTAATTGTTTCATTCATTCACTGGATTTAATTATTTCAAAAAAAAAAATCTAAGGTGAGGTGCTTACTGAACAACTGGCTGGAAGCGGGGCATGAGGTTGGAAGCACAAAGCCTGCAGTCAGTCAGGTCTCCTCCTAACTCAGGGCAGAGGGCTGAACGGTCTTTGCTTCAGCCAGACACCACTGTGGAAGTCTGCATACTAGAGCAGATGGGCAGTTCAAAGAGTAGTGGATCATATTTTCAAAGATGTAGCCAGTGTGCATCACCTGCCTCTCTACACTGTGTGCATGCATGGACCCAAGCACAAAATGGTCAGAGCAGCATCCTAAGTCAAGCTTTAAGTACTGTATGAACTGAAGCTGGCATCTTTAAGAAAAAAATTAAGGGTGGCTGTTGTTCTCAGTAACTCACATTATTTGTTTATTTGTTTTCATACATGTCAGTCTGCCATGTGTTTTGGTGATGACAGCTAGCAAAAGCTGTACTCAGCTCATTATGAGCTTAGCAGCACAGTGTTGAGTTGCACAATGGGATCAATACAAATATTTACTTCTGGATCATTAATTTGAGCTTCCTCACCCCTGCAAGCCCCCCAGCCCTAGCACCCTGTGGGAACAGCCTGGTCGAACCAGGCTCCTGCTGAAGGGGGCTTCAGTTCTGCAGCAATAGGGAACTCTGCAATTAACACTGCAGCCCCCACCTGAGCCGTCTGCCAGGCTCCTGCCCTGCTACAAACAAAGACCTGGCAAGAGAGGGAAAGTAAGCTAAAAGCGAGGGAAAAAGAGGCTGGGGGAGGGGAGCCAAGCTGGTGAGGAGCAAAAGGGGCTTTGTGGAGGGAGATGCTGAAATGGCCAGAGCTGCTGCATGTTGAAGGGATGCTGGTGGGAGGCCAGGCTGCTTGGAGAAGGAGCATTTATGCCGGGAGCATTACAGAGGCTCACACAGAGGATGCCTGCTAGTGGATTTCTAATACCTGTCTGGGCAGAGGGAGATCCTGATGCCAGATGAGTAGTTACTGTGTGCTGTGCAAACCAGGCCTTTGGCTTTCAGAAGAGACAGCAAGCTGGTCTTTTTGAGGGGGTTATTTCTAGTGCACAGTCTCAGTGCTGTTTCAAATTGAGTAATTTTAAAGACACTGTCTTTAAAAGACCTTCTCCAAACAGGAGAAGAGTCCAGCAAAATGTATTAACATGCAGCCAATATCTTACCAAATGTAACATACTGTACCATATGCAAAACTGCAGTACAGTCATTTTATTACAGGTTATTGGACACTGAACCAAACGATGGCAGCTTTGCATCTTTAGTGCTTCTGTTTTGAGTTATGAATAAGTAAGTTCCCATTTCCTACCCTAAAGCCACTCAATCGCCAGGAGAAAAACAAGTTTGTATCTGATCTATCTCTCACTTTTGTAGTCTGAGCACACTCACCATAACAGAGTCATTCATGCCTCTCATCTGGAAGACATCCATTGTGATCTCTGTGCGGTTGGAGACCTCATTGTTGCCTGTATGACTGGATGGAGAGAGGTCGAAGTAGGTGCTGTCTGGTGCCCTGTGAGCAAGCAATGGCAGATAGTCAGCTTTCCAGCTCTCCTACACAGCCTGCACCAGCAACAAGGGCTACAGTTCAGGAAAACTGGCCATGCCCAGCCCAAGCTGGTTGGCTGTTGGTTCTGGTGGTTACTGCTGGTGGATGTTGCTTCCACAGTGTGCTCTGTTAAGGGGCATGGGTGAGGGCTGATGCTGTGCTGCTGGGGCAGTGAGCTTCCCAGCAGGTACAACACGATGCATGTGGCCTTCTCCCCTTACAGCGAAGATGAGTTGGTGTCTCCTCTTCCACAGTACTGCAGAGGTATTGATGACCTTTGCTTTCTTACACAAAAAGTGTGCCCAGATGCTGACCTCTGATGTGCAAGAGTGCAGCAGCAATGGGGTCCTTTTGTCATGTATGTTCATTCCTTTGCATTTATGATGGAAATCAAAATGGCTGATGGTTGCACAACCCTCAGAAAGTTTCCAAAACCTGCGAACAACTTTGTGGGGCCCTGCATTCAGTGTATGCAAGATTTCCAGCTTCTGGCTGTCTAGCATCATCGAGGCAAAGTAGTTTGGCAGCTCAGAGCTGGGAGCAAAATTTGAATTCAGGAAAGGAACACGTGAAAATTGGTGCATGTGAAAGATGCTAGTCTCCCTTCATGTCATATTGATTAGATATGCTAATACAGATTAACATGGCAAAGAGGCACTTCTGCCTCAATACACATGATCAAATGACACTTACAGTGTACTCCAGAGGTGTTCAAATGTTGTACTTTCATCAGCAGGAGAGGACTGGGACATCTTCACAGAGGGGGAGTCTGACAAAGGATAAATCACTCTAGGGAAAGAAAAACAACAAAGTTAGCGTTGCTAGAGTGCAAACAAAATGTCTCCTTTTCTCTTGATGGCTTAAGGACCTGGATATGCAGGGATTTTATCTGTTCAGCATAGGAATGGAGTGGATGATCTAACACAGCATTTACACTGCTCTATTCCTGGAACATGCACAGAGAACCAGGTCAGCTGCACTAAACTCAGATTATGATAACACAGGTTGCAAATGCTGTGTTATAGAACCATGCCACAGAATATCATTCCCTCTTGTTTTTTACTGGTGCCCAAGCTCAGGTCAGCAAAGCAACCAGCAAAGCGCAGGAGCTTCCCAGAAGTGTCCCTGCAACAAACCTCTGGCTGCAGGTGCTTTCTTTCATGCTGATATTTCAGGTGCTGACACCACCTCTGTGATCTCCAGTCTTACAAAGATGTGAGTATTTTAGAAAGGGCCAAAGTGGCAGGGTTATAGGATGTCAGCCCATTTCTGCTAAATGCTAATTCTGTGACGCAGGGTTTCCATCTGAAATGTTTACAGCACGCTCCAGCAGTTCTCAGCACTGCTACCCACAGCCCCTTCCACCCTTTGAGAACTATTCTTAGTAATCGTTTTGAACTAGGTTCATTCAGTAAAGGGCTTAGATCTCTCTCAGACAACAACATTGAATTCTTGAGTAGGAAGTCTCTGAATAAAACTGAAACACAAAGTTAGTTGGCAAATAAAGTCTTGCAGTGAGAATCAGAACCAAATACATGCTTGGTGCTGCTCCCCTGAGATTATGCTCAGCAGCCTGGCACCAGCAGGGGAATGGGGAAACCCTCCTCTGCAAGGCTGGTGAATGATGGGTGGATGGGTGATGATACATGACAAAACTTGATAGGACAGCACGGAGAGCCGCCATCTGAGAGTGAGCTTAGATCAGCTGCAGTGTGCTATGAGCTACAGAGAGCCCAAAAGCCGCCCGTTTTCTATCTTCCTTCAAGCACCAGAGCACTGAGAACACTGTGGTCTTTCCTTTGTGCCTTGAGCCCTCCCCCAAGCCCCCGGAAGAAAAGGCAGCATGCTGCAGAGAGCTGGGCTGCAGCCATCTTGGTCAGCATGCTGCTTGCAGCCACACCATGCGACTGCCCTCATCCTCCTCCTCCCTGGCCCCCTGCTCCCCAGAGCTGCAGGGGCTGCCACCCTCCCCTTCCAAACATGTATGCATCCCAGCTGCACTCCAGTTACCCCTTTTTACTCACACAAGGGTTACCATCTTGTTTAGGCTCGGTACCGACATCTAATAGCGAAAGCCTGAAAACTTCCTGCTTTTCAATCTTAAACCGCTCGTGGTGGGAGCAGCCGCTCTCAGAATGATGATGTTTAGGGGAGACCAGCTGCAGGGCCAGGGCCCTTTCAATGGTTTCTGAGTCAGCTGGGGACCGGGTGGCTTAAGAGCAACAGGCACAGCACCAGACATTAAAGTGAAAGCAGGGTGGTGTCCCGAAAGCCGACCCATGCTGGTTTCTGCTGCATCTGCGACTCATCTGAGTGATGCAGCACCTGCAGATGCTCTTCCAGGAGAGTTTGGCACAGCAGCAGAGTCTTTGCTCCCCACAGGACTTCTAGCCGAAGACAAAGCTCATCAAAGTCTTACTTCCGCCCATCCCTCCTCATCCCATGTGTAAACAGGGAGAAAAGAAAAGACGGAAGCAGCAGTTTCAAGAAAAGGAAAAGCTCAGAGCTGCAGTGAGGCTTCTCGGGCCCTTACCCTGCTTCCATGCTGTTTTCCATGGCCCTGGGTATCGGTAGCATCAAGATGCAGCCAGGTCTTTTCTATTAGCAGAGCGAGCACCTCCGCACCGCCCCTTGCTGTGTGGTCATGCTGGATGACACCAGCTCTAACCACGTGGCTGCACTCGTTTTCAACAGAAAAAAAAAATCTGAATATTTTAAGGGTGTTTCAGAAGTTTTCCTTTCTCTTTCAAAACAAAATTGGCATTGGCAAAGCCAGGTCAGTGTCCATTCACACCTGAGCACTTGGGATCCGTGGTGCAAAGAACAGTTGGGCTGCCAGTGCAGCTAACACACTTCCCTCGTGCAGTGACTGCTGCACATGCTGGGAAATAATCTCTGCACCAATACTGACAGCTTAAAAACTAGCCTTTAAGATGATAAAGAATTGCAGGAAACTTTGCAAATAGCATTCCTGGAAGTTGGCAGCAGTGCTGTCCATAGCGTAATTTGCCCTAAAATGAGGTATCCTACAGGATCAGTGAGGGAAGGAAGCAGGGCAGTCATTCTGATGGGGCAGTCCAGCAGAAGGAAATCACATCATCAGATGTGATCCAGCAGAAGCCCTTGGCACAGGTTAAATGCAGGTGAACCAGGAAGAGTCTCATAAACTAATTCTATCTTTATTGGAAGCACTACTAGATGACTTGGATGAAATTACCTCCCAGTGTCTGTCAGCTATGCAAATGACACAGGGAGGTGACTAACCTGAGGCTAAACACAGCAGCAGCAGCACAGCTAGAAAACAGCCACAGCATATTCAGGCTCTCTGCCACTTCCAGTCTCCCACATCAGCCTGGAGGATATGTAGCTCTGCCATAAAGGCATCAGCTCCTTGACGTCACCCCAACACCTTTTCCCAGCACCAAGTTTGAGGAGATAACACCTTGACTTCTGCACAGAATTCTCTAGCCAAACTTTCACCAGCAGGATTTCCACGATGGCACCTCCAGACACATACATCTGTTTCTTAAGCAGTGCAGCAGGGGATCCTCTCTCCCTTCTGCCTCTATGTAATACAGATGCCTCAGGTAAGCAAGACTGCCTGGGGTGACATTCAGTGGTGGCTGTGACACAGGACCCAAAGGGAGGCTGCAGCAAAACAGTCAGGCTGATTCATTGCAGGCATTTGGAGGAAGATTGAAACATGCAAACTTGGGGCTCAGTGCATGAAGACAATGTTGCTGATGTGATTTGCTTGTTTACACATGGGGAGCTGCATCTCTGCATGCCTTCTCAACTCATCTCCACCATTCACTGGATTGTTGCTTCCCTCTGTTGCTAGTTAGTGCACTGCAGGGAAATTGCACAGTGGGTAGGGACAAAGGTACCACATGCATACGGGGGGGGATGAAGCTTTGATGGGAGGTGATGCCTGGCTGCTGAGTTTCTGCAGACTCAAGAAGGAGCATCTTTGATCTCACCATTAACTTTAAGCCTTAGCTTTACCTAGAAATGCCTGTTGCTATTTCAGCAAGTTACAACATATTCACCACCATCCTGCCACCTCTAACAGCCCAGAATGAAATGTGACAAAAAATTTTAGCCACTTTAATGGGAGACAGATGCACACAAATCTGTACAATGGGTCTATTTCTAATCTTCAGAGGCCTTTGGCCCAGCCTGAGAGAGGAAGCCCTCGGAAACCAAAAGAAGCCATACATGACTGTAAATTCGCACTGCTGAGATGCTGGACAAGGCATCACTCTTTTCCCACGCAGTAGTGGGGGCTGCAGTGAGAACACGCAGCTGGGACTGGGACTTTTAAGGGCAATGGTTAGATATTGCTGATTCTCACAACAAATTGCAATATTCTGCTTGAAAGTTTGTGAGCTTATCTCCACACCTCCACTCCTCCCTTCAGCTGCAAGCTGGGAACCATCCAGCTCATCCAGTCTGCAGCCAGCAAGTTAACATTTGCAAAATACTGGCGCATCCCAAGGTCACAACACTCAGTGCTCTTGCTCACTCACGTCTGATTAGTAAATTCACACATGCAAAACACTGCTTACAAAACTGACCAAAAGTGAGCTTTCCAGCAGCACACTCGGATCTCTCTGTCTAGCAGCATATTAACATCAGCATTGCTGGGTGAACAGGACACAGTAGAGCAGCCTGATGTACCAACAAAACAGGATAGACCAAAATCTACTCTGACAGATAGAGAAGTCAACAGATAGGTACTGTCCCTGCACAAGGCACCACGACCCTGCTGAGCCTGGCAATGAGAAACCACCCCAGCATCCTGCCTGTGCTCATCCTCTTCGCTGCTTTTCCATTCCAGGCTGCTCTTTCCTCCACAAGTGCTTTCATTCTGGACCTAAGGCACTTTGGAGCAAACTATCCAAGATTTTTTTAACCCTGAATAACAATCCCACACAGAAAAGCAGCCACAAATCATCTTCCAGCTGCACTATGGAGCAACTGAGAGAGGGTCTGTGCTGAGGAACACACACACGCAAATCACAAGGAGTTTCCCTTTGTCTTTTTTCTCCTACCTGCTCTGGCTCCCCAGGCACTTGGAGTTCCCCCGGAGGTCTCCCGCAGACAGGAGCGGCCTGGGATTGAGGATCTGTTATTTACTGCACTACAATCTAGTAGCGTCCCGGTCGCCTAGGCAATGACATTGGAGCTGTTGAAAGCTATGTGAAAAGTGAGGCAAAGGCTTGTGCACTCCCTTCCTGGAATACAAGGCAGTTACAAAGGGGTGGGGACAGCTCAGCCAAGCGTGCAGGGGAATTAAGCTGGTCACCAGCCCCAAAATGACTCTGGGGCAGCAGCAGGGCCACGGAGACAGCTGCTGTCGAGCTGGGAAGGAGACTGAAAGCACAGCTCCAAAGGAAGCTCTGCACCCTGCCAGATTGCTGCTCTGGAGTTGTTTGGGTGCCCGCGTTGCTCACAAGGCCCAGTCATCCCTCCTGGGGAACAGCAGGGACTGTCCGCAAAGGGCAGCAAGGCCGAGAGCTTTCTTCCTCACTTGAAAGCCCCACGTTACGGGTCAGAAGATGGAATATTCCTTCTGAAAACCACTACCTTTCTCCACCTGTGGCTGCAGTTCTCAGCTCTCTGCACTCACCCAACGTCTGCTGACAGTGTTTCCAAAAGCTCAAGGTTTGCTTCAGCCAAGCTTAGCTCCAGCCTCCACTTCCCATAACAAATCCCGGTGCTGGCTGTCGCTGTGGGCACATCGTGTGTGGTTACGGCAGTGCCTCACACACCAGGGCAGAGCAGAGGGTCTGGGCTGCTCCCCCCCAGCCCCCCCAAAACCCTTCGTGGCTCTTTCTCTCATCAAGCTTTAGGATCTTTTATTTCTAAGCCCTCCCTGTACCGGTGCGCCTCATCTGCATCTCTCGGCCTTTCATTTCCATCAGCAATTAGCCGTGAAGCGGGAAGTGTGACCTGGCGCAGGCCGCGGCACGCTGCCGCCCCGAAACGTCTGACAATCAAATTAGAGGGAAGTCCGCTAATGAGGGAACGGCGCCGGTGACTTTGGCGGGCTGCAGGGCGCGGAGCCCGCGCTGGGAACGAGCCGCTCTCATTACGCAGCTCATTTCCATAATAATTTCTCACTCGCGGGGACTTCCCGCCGCCGGGCGCTCCCTGACAGAGAAATGGCCCGCGGCACCCACCCGGGACTACGACTCCCGGCGTGCCGCGCGGCGCCCCCCCGCTCTGATTGGCTATCCCGACCGGAAGCTCCCGCCCTTTCCGCCCGCTTCCGCCCTGAGGTGCGGGCCGGGGCGCGGCGGGCGGAGCGGGCGGGTTTGAATCGGTGCCGCTCCCGGTGCGGGTCCGGGCGGTGCCATGGACTTCTCGGAGCTGTTCAAGCTCTCTGGGCTGCTCGGCAGGTTCTCTCCCGACGGGAAGTGCTTGGTGAGAGCGGGGCTGAGGGGCGGGACGGGGCCCTGCGGAGGAGCCGGGCGTTACCGGGCGGTGGTCAGCCGTGGGCCGCGTGGTGGCGGCCGGGAGCTGAGCGGGAGCAGGCCTCGGTTCCTCCCGCTGGGACGGGCTCCGGGCGGTGCGGTGCCGTTCCCGTGGGGATTTACGAGAAGAGCGGCTGTGCCGCACGGCCACGGGCCTGCAGGGAGCCGTGCGGGTCGGTCGGTCCGTCCGGTCGGTTGTAACGGCGCGGGTTGCGGTCAGCACAGCGCTCAGTTACTGGCGCTTAAAGGGTTAATGGCATTCCGACGGGACGAGGGAGCGTGTTTTGGAGGAGTAGGCTTAGTCGTGCCTAGCAAGCAGCCATAGAACTAATGAGCTCGGGTTTTAAATGACTATAGGCCCCCCTACTGGCTTAAACCATTGTTTGTGTTAGAGCACAACTCGCGTGAAGCCTTCCTAAGGGTGAATGCTGCCCACAGCACAGCGCTGTGGGGTGCAGTACATCGAGCTTCTCAAGTCCGGGGCTGATGGACCAACCCAGCTGTGTTCCTGCTTGTGCTCAGGCTTCCTGTGTGCAGTACCGGCTGATCATTCGGGATGTGAACACCCTCCAGATCCTTCAGCTGTACACTTGCCTGGACCAGATTCAGTACATAGAATGGTCGTCTGATTCTCTTTTCATATTGTGTGCCATGTACAAGCGAGGGATTGTTCAGGTAAGGACCCAAACAGAGTCCTGTTGTAGTCCTGTGTGTGCTGTGAGTGTGAACAGCAGTCACCAGTTCAGTGCTTTTGCTAAAGCAAATGTTATTGATAATGTGTGGTTTGAGGTGCAACATGCTTACAAAGCTGTGACCTACTTCTTAGTTTCTAAACGAACTTAAAATGAAAATACATAGTAAACTAATTTAAACCGAAGCTAGAAAGTATCCTAGAATTTTCTTATTTCAGCAGGAAACAAATACATGCAAACTTGCCAAATGGTCTAAAGCATGTTTTTTTCAATTGCTGGTTATATTCAGAATATTTGTCAAATATTTTTGCTTATTTTACAATTTGTATTAACACACAGAGCTATGAGGCTTACTTTTGTAGCGGAATCCAACGCCAGTCCTTCATGGCCACGGCTTTCAGAGGTTTCTTGCCCTCTCTGGTCGGTGATGCAGGAACTTCTTCTCAGCTGAAGTGTATTCTTGAAAGAAGAGGTTTTGATGAGCTGTTTGTTTGGTACACTGCCTGCTTGTTTTCCTTCCTTCCTGATGTAGGTCTGGTCCTTGGAGCAGCCAGACTGGCACTGTAAGATAGATGAAGGGTCAGCAGGATTGGTGGCTTCATGTTGGAGTCCGGATGGTCGTCACATTCTCAATACAACGGAGTTTCATGTAAGTGTGAAGTCATGATTACTCTCCATGGTATCAGATGTTACTGTCTGCCCTTTGTCTCTTAAAATAACCTGAAGTTCTTAAAGCTGTAGTGGTGGTGTAGTTTTCCTGTGTTCCCAGATGTAACCTACATTAGTTTCAGTTCAGATGTTACTGTGTTAACATTTTATTCTCTGGAGTTTGGTAAGATAGAAAATAGACTCTTAACTTAGATAAAATTGTGTGCTTAGCTGTAGGAATAACTTCCTTTTATGAAAGCAGTTTTGGTAACCAAATGTGTTGGTAGCTCAGGGAAATCTAAAAACATCCAAGAATGGCTTTTGAATTAAAAAAAAAAAAACAACAAAAAAACATAGTCTTAGATTAACTGGGAAATGCTCACAGAAGTGCTCGATGGTACATATGATAATCAGATGACTGCTGGTAGAAGCACTTGTGAAACTTGAATTAAAACATATGTAAGCACTTAAGAGCTGTGTTCTGGAATCTGCGTTAAGGTGTAGAGCCCAGATCAGTCAGTGTGTGCTGTACACTGAGGACATGTTGGAAGGCATGTGGAAGTCTGACTCTCCACCTTTTTAGCTGATGATTGATGCAGTTCAGTACAATGAATGGCCGGAAAATAGCTGGGAACCACATGTGAGAAACTTTTCTGTTTAATATATCTGACTTTTTCAGAACTAGTTGGATTTTAAATGATGCGTTGTTGCCCTGAGTTTGGGTGTTACACTGCAAGATTTCCCTTTTTTCCATCCAAATATCAATCAATGGGATACAGATGGGGGGCTTGTCATTTGTGTGTGCATACTGGAGTTAGTGTAAATACTGATGCTCTCAAGGGAACCTGTGAGGAAACATGTATACAGGGTGGAATTCCCTGGCAAGGATTTTCAGTGCTTGCTGAGGCAGGGATATTCTGCCTGTCAAGCAGTCTCCTTCCACTTCCCCTCAACTTTTTAGATCGTGGATTTTGTGGAGTGATTAATTTAAACCTGAGTTTGTCCAGCAGCAATCACCTTGATAGTGATTAAAATAAACGTGAGTCCAGAGCTACAACTCTAAGTCAGTGAAGACATGCCTGGCAGTCAGGCAGGAGTGTTGTTGTCCCCGTAACCCAAACTGAAGGCTGGTGTTATGTGCTACAAATGAGTTTCTTATGGCACATTCATGTGGGGGTGGACTAGCAAGTATTTATTACCTCCCAACAGAACTTGGTTTGACCTTAGAGGATTTCATTAAGCCTTTGCCAAGTTGGCATCTGTGTTGGGATAAGTTTTCTTTCCAGCTGTAAACAGGTTGCTAAATTAGCTTTGTCAGACAGCTGCCTGGGTAATGCCGATGTCTGAGTTGTGTTTACTCTATAGCATGTAAAGCCATGGTCTGGTGGGACAGGCGTTAGCAGTGCTCGGGGCAGAAACTGTCAAGATACTTAATATTGGTGTATTATGTGTGCTATGAAGTTCGGGGATTGCCTGGGGGGGGGCTTTTGGTTCCCTGTCAACCAGTGCAGTTTGGCTCTGGTAGCTTGACATTTTCAAACAGCACCAACTAATTACTCATGCTTGTAATTCTTCAAGTTAACATATGAGCTCCATTGTAAGATTGCAAATTGAAGTAATTTCTAATAGAGACTTCTTTAAGCATATGGTTATACTAATTTATTTCTAGCAGTCCATGCTTATTAGTACAACAGGGAACGTATTCATTGGCTAACTTGTGGTCAGATTTTTTGCAGTAACATCTTTACATTTTTACATAACATCTATAGTGAATGATGTTATGTTTTCTGTTTTTAATGTGACCACTGCAGTTTCTAACTGAAGAGAAGTGCACGAGAATTCTGACGCGTTCTGAAATCCATTTTGACTCAGTTGCCTTTTGAGATGAGTGATGCTCCCAGGGTATTTAATTTTTAATGTTAGTGTAAATGTGCAGATGTGGTCATCTTGCTGCAGACAGTTCTGTATCACTGTAGGTCTCCTGAGTCCTAAAATTATTACACAGGGTGTAGTAATGTAGAATGGTACAGATAACCATCTAAATCTTTACATAAACACCCCAGTAAACAGTGTGGTACATAAGGCAGCTAAGTGGTATGGTCTGATAACCAGAAGCATACACAGGCTCTGTTCTTTCCCTCAAAGAAGACTGGAATCTGAAAAAGTTGGAGTATGTCAGTGCTGTTGATTTGTGTAGTGCCCTGGAAAGCAGTTTGTCCCATAGCTATTGTTTGCTACTGTATTTTGTAGCAGGTGCTTCCTCTGCTGCTGAAAACACTCTGTAGTGTATCTAGCACAGCAGGCTGCTTGCTGGAGGAGTCCACGTTATCAGTTTGTCCTGGGGAAGATTTCATACCAGGTATCGTTCCTCTTTCCCACACAAAGTTTGGGATGACAGACATGTAGAGTTTAAACAAGAGCCACAGATAAAAGATGTAAGGAAAGCAAATGGAATTTATTCCGGACTTGGAAGTTTTGTGATAGGTGGTTGGAGATCATCAGCATTGTTCTGGAGCGTTTCTCTTAAGGCCTATACTTTGAAATTTCATGCATTGTTGTTTCTCTAGTTCCACTTTAGTACTGAAGCATTAAGAAGCTTCCTTAGAGCTACAGTGGGAGGAAAAAAATGTGTGTGTTTCTGTGTATATTGGAGCTAATCCTTAGTAACTGTAAATGGCTGCGTTGGTTGAAAAATGCTTTCTGTCGAGGAATGCGCTCTGAATAATCTTCTGAAATCCGGTGCTGACAGACAGTGCTATGTAAGGAGGCTTTGTGACCCAGTCAAGTCTGGGACAAAAGTTGACAGTCATTTGAGATGCAAGGTTGTTTTAAAAGTGTGTTTTTATCTATTGAAAATCACCAGTCTTACACCTGCCTATAGCTGTCAACATTGGATGTAGTCCTGAACCCAGCACTGCAGACTGTTTATCACGTTACCATCTAAATGCTTTTTTTTTTCTCAGCTGTTTTTAGGCTATTTTAAAAATGCTTCTGCTTTTGGTTTGTTTTTTTTCCACTGCAAAACAACAGCTGAAAACTTCTCAGACACCATTATTGTTAGGATTTGGGTTTGACAACTCCAGTTCATCTAGGAACTAATGGTAAGGAAAGAGAAAGTACCCTCAAAATGGGCAGTAAGAAATGCCTGCCATGTTCTGAGCTGACCACAAGCTGTACTGCTGTGAAAGCTGTTGTTCCTTCCCCACAAACTCTGGAAAAAAAAAGTAAATAGGAACAACACAGTTTATTGTGCTTTTTCTAAAGCATGTTTGGCTTTCTTTTTACATCCTCTGCATTTTGTTTCTGTCTCTCAGTTATCTCTGCTAGCTGTGAAATAATCCTCCTTAGGCCAGGTTTCACTGGCAGCTTGGGTAGGATTGTGGAATAATTTTTCAGTTCCATCTGAGAAGGTGAAGGGTCTCCCTTTTTCCTCATGTTTAATTGTAAGCATTGTTAGCCTGTGTAAGGTAGATATGAGAACCATAGATGAAGTACACACTGTAACTTGCCAGTTTAGAGAAGCTTTTTTACTGTAGACAGATCGAACAACTGAAAAGAATCCTAATTTTAGAGATCAAAACACTTTGCTTTCATAAGTTTCTAATACCAGTCCCAGACTTTTTAGGTTGTGTTGTGTGCCTTGGACTGGAGGATGTGATGAAGTTACAGCAGAACTTCCACGTGTTCTCCAACTTAGTTGTTTGAGTCTCAGGCAAGGCAGAGGTAACAGTAGGAGCCCTGCATGCCCTGTACTGCTTCTCACTGAGAGACTCCCCTCTTCCTATGTGCTCCAGCAGTAAGGCTTTGCCTTTTCTAAGCCTTGGAGCCAGCCTGTATGGTTTGGAGTAGTAGTGCCTGTGACACGCAGCAGCCAGGTGAGTTGACTGGAGCCAAGTGGTAACACAAGTGTGAACTTGGATGCCTTTGTCAGGAAAAATGACAATCCAGACCTCAGCATTCAAAGCTTGCAGCTGCTAAGCTTGTATTAAGTGGCTGTAGAATGTGTGTTGTGTGTGCTGCTTGTTTTGGTCAAGGGAGGAACAGCAGCAAGTACATTTAACACTGCAATTAATAGGAGCAAGCAGCATATCACTATTGCAGTTGCTATAGAAGAATGTGAGTAGGCATTGTGTTGGTATTTTTAAAGTAAATCTTGCATGAAGAGCAGACTAACAATGCTGTATTTTTATATGTCCGGAAGTGAGCAGTTGCAATGATAAAACTTGATTAATGGTGTTCATCTTGCAGATTCCACTGGGATCCCTTAAACTTTAAGGTGGCACTATAGATGTCTAGCTGTAATTTCATAGCTGTTAAATAAAGGAAGAGATGATAAAGGCTGCATTAAACAGTAGTCCAATTGTGCTTTTTAAAACTTTGGACATAAGAAGACTGGAATGTGATATGGTCGTTGCTCTTTCCTGTTACATTTTAAAACAGCAGTTTTGTGTGTGGTCTTTTCAAGTCTCTTAAGTTTCTTAAATATATATTAAAAATTAGTAAAAACAGCTCATGATGCTCTTTTGCTTTTGTTCTTCACATTTCTGGAGAGGGGCAGTGTTAGGAATCTGTAGCTTGGTTTTAACACAATATCAAAGCATGATTCATGTTAGCAGTGAAAAAAAAAAAAGCCTCTAAAGTCTGCTGCAGTGCACAGGCTCCAGTGTTACCAGGTAAGAACAAGCAGACAGGATGCTTCATTGGGGTCACTTCTCACCACTGAATTGTACCAATTGCTTCAGAGAAAGGAAAATGTTTATTGAGGACAAACACAAGAAAAAGAGCAGCAGAAACTTTTTCCCACCATGCTGGTAATTCATCTGTGTTGGATGCAGGTGGGTGATTGAATGGTAGATGGTGCTAAAGTTATACTGATGTAGTGAAACAGAATTAATGTTGTTCAGTAGTCTTGGGAAAGATGGTTTTATGCCCGTGGATCTTAATTGCAAAAATAGTTTTACCTGTGTCTTATCTAGAATCTTTATCTAGAATCTCTTACCTTGGTGCAATAAAAATACAGGAAAACATAGGATGAAAAACATACCCTGGAAACATTCCTTGCTCCAGATATAAATGCAAAGGTTCACATGACATACTGATTAATGCACATATGTCTGGTGTGGCTGCCGTTGCCAAGGGAGAGTAAGTATTTGTTTTTAATTGAATAATCTGCAGATGGCAACGCAGAGCTTCCAGAATGCAGGCTGTGACCTTGACGAGCTGTGAAGGGGCTTGTTTTGCAGCTGACTGCCTTCTTTGCAGTTTTCATGTTCTGTGGGTGCACAAGGCTCCAGAAATACCGCAGATATGGCGTTTAATGCCTTGCTGTTGCTTGTCTTTTAATTCTAATTCTCTCAGTAGTTCTTAATGTTGCCTTCTTGTGGGTGGCTGAGGAGGGAAGAACGAAGTGCAAATCAGCACCACAGCTGAGCATGTGGTTAGAACTTAAGAAATAAATCTGGTTTTACACATAGTAGCTTAAGATACACAGTTCTTGAGTTGCAGTGATTTCTCATCTCTTTCCCATGTTTTGTGATGAAGTTATTTTTCCAGCTGAAAAGTATATTGGCAACATGTTATGAGCGTGAACCCAGCTACACACTGAGTACATCTCTATCTTCAGTATCAGTCAAGTGCTGTTGTCCATCTTGGTGTTCTGCACCTGTACCTCTTGGGAGCCTTCAGTGTTCCTGTAACATTAATTAGAAATAAGTATCCTTGCTCACTGAAGAGAGTGCAGAGAGAATTCCTTCCGGATTTTCTTACAGCTTTGTGCTATGCAGAATAACTGCAAAACTTAATTAAACCATTGAATCTACTTTGCATTGTTGAACTAGGTTTTGGGGTTGGGGGGAGTATGTACTAACTTTTTTAATCTACAAAAATAAGCAAATACTTCTTTGTCTTTCTCAACAGCTGCGGATAACTGTGTGGTCCTTGTGTACAAAATCTGTATCTTACATCAAGTATCCCAAAGCTTGTCAGCAAGGTAAGTGTCACCAATTTCCACAGGGATGCATTTCACTGTGTTGGGTACCTGGGTGCCACGTGCTGTGACTGCTGCCCTAGGATCTGAGTTTTCAGCCCTTGCACAGAAGAAGTTTAACCAGTTTGTGTGCCTGTTCTACATGTCTTTCTGTTGTGCTCCCTCTCTGATGGGTCCTGTGAGGTGTTATTAAGCTGAATATGTTGGTGATGAAAAGCACAAATCTAAAGTGCCTTTCCTCATTATCTGTCACTTGAAAAGAGGGTGGCTCCTGACAGAACTGCAGTTAGCAATTTGCTGCCTGAGGTTTGTATCAGCAATACCTCATATGAGATGATGGCAACATAGAAAATAAGAGAGAGGATGGGGACTGACACTTTGAATTTAATGGGATGCCAGTAGCTGCATGACTAACTTGCACAGCTAAACAAAATTAACTGTTTCGTCTGCTTTTTTTGACCAATCATCAGTTGCTCTGCCATGTTCTGACTTAGCTTTCTGTCCCACTGGCAGGAATAGCTTTCACCAAGGATGGCCGCTATATGGCAGTAGCAGAAAGACGTGACTGCAAGGACTTTGTCAGCCTCTTTGTGTGCAGTAACTGGCAGCTGCTGAGGGTAAGAAGTGTCTCTGCCTTCCCCTGCTTCTGAAGAGGTTACAAGCATCTGTTGCATACTACTTTAAACACCATCACTTTACTACTCTGGTTTTAGATTTGCCAGTGTATTTTCTAGCCAGCATGTGGCTCCTTTGCTGGCCTGCAGCATACTTCCATAGCAGGGGGGTTCTGTTGAGGAAGCTGTGTAAAGAAAAAACCAACAAACAACCCCTCATGTAAACTAAGAATTATTCTCTTTAGTGACAGTAAACCATACATTTCTGGGCTGGCATATGAAAGACTGCTATATTTGTGGTAGCATTTGGAAGGGTGAAACTGAGGATTACATTTGTTAGTGTTATGCTTCAAATGATGTTTTTCTCTTCTGGGGGCAGCATTTTGACACTGAAACACAAGATCTGTTTGGGATTGAGTGGGCTCCCAATGGCTGTGTTCTGGCAGTGTGGGATACATGTCTTGAGGTATGAGGAGAAACATGATTTTAGAATTTAAGTTGTTTTTTACAGCTGTCATGTATGAAGCAATAACTAAAATAAAACGTGGTGTTACATCTCTAAACAAAAGTATGATAAGCTGAACTCCAAGGAAACATTTCAGAATATTACACTTATGGAGGTAATGGGCATCCTAATAAGTATGTCAAACTTATGTAGGTCCTTAGTGACGATGAAATAGCTTATTAACATCTAACTTATATAAAAATATATTTGTAGTTTTGATTGTAAACATTGTGGAAGCTGCTATTCAGATAAATGAGGAAAGAATTATTCTTTATATTGCGTGAGAATTTAAGTAACCCAAAAAGTTAGTTAGGAATATGTAAATGTTATCTTTTGTGCAAAGTGTCTTCTGATGGCTGTGGAGTTGTGGGCAATAGGACCAAACCAAATAATCAATTTGTTTCAGTACAAAATATTGCTGTACTCCCTTGATGGCAGACTGCTGTCCACATATCAGGCTTATGAATGGTCGTTAGGCATAAAATCCATTGCCTGGAGTCCCAGCAGTCAATTTTTGGCAATTGGCAGCTATGATGAAAAGGTAAGAAATAGAAAAGAGAAAATAAACCTATCTAAATCACTTGCAGAATTGTGTCATAACCACTCTGTCTTGAAATATCTTCTTGAATTAGGTGCGTATCTTGAACCATGTAACGTGGAAAAAGATCACAGAGTTTGAACATCCAGCAACTGTTACTAACACAAAGACTGTAAGTATGGATCCAAACTGCTGAATCATTATCAGCACTTTCTTGGTGTGGCTGTTTGTTTCCAAAGATGTTAGTAAATCCACTTCATCCTGGAGGTTTTACTTTTTTCCCCTCCTAAGCTCTAGATAGTGCTTGGGGAACTTCTTGAATAGTTGAAATTGTAAGGGAAAAATAAAGTTTCTGGGATACACACATGATTCAGTAAAAGCATTAGTAGGTTCTCCAAGGACTGCTGCCACATGCCAGCGTATCTTACTGTAGGTGGTGACTGCCTTAGAGATTTGAGGATGTAGATCATGATCCACTGACCACACCTCAGCAGAACTTTTCTTAATTGAAAAATGACCTTTTCTTTTCCTGTGAAGTATAGAACGTGTAATGGAAGACAAATGGAAGTAACTCTGCTAGTCTCTACTGCACAGAGAAGAATTCCAGTTGGCATTTTTTATCCTGTTAGGGGATAGGAAGTTATAGACATGCTGTTAAAATATTTTTGCTTCTGCAGTGTTGCACTTTGTGTTTATTTATGTAATATTAAGAATAAAGATTCATTTTTTAAACAAATGATTTTATGTTTCCATTATAATGAAATAATTTATTGCACTGGCACTGTAGGTTGCAGAAATATTAAATGAGGTGGACTCATGCTTCGTGGACTTCAAGATGCATTTATCTGTCAGAAAAGTTTTCTTGATCACGGTTCCAATAAGCAAATAATTCAGAATACAGGATTCAGTATTTGCCTACTTGAAGCCCCTCTCCTTCAGTGATGAACTGGGCATGCTGAGATGTAATACACCTGAAAATATGGTGTACAACTCTTGAGTTAGTGGGATGTGAATGATTTATTAATAGCCCAAGTTCAAACTCTCCTAGGCCCTTCTTAGAACTGTCACTTGTTTCTTTGTAGATTGTGTATAAAGAAGTGGAGAAATCCCCATCTGTTGAAACAGAGAGATTTTCTTTCCCTCCGACAAGAGCATTGGCTAGTTCTGTCTTCAGCACACAAAGTAAATGTAAGCCAAGGTTTAGTAAAGTAAGACACTTGAGCTTGCCAGCTGAAATCATTCTATAAATAAATGTTACGTAAATGCTGATATTGGAATGGATCCTCTGGGTGCTCTGCTCCTCTCCTGAGTTAACTGAAGAGCTCCAGGGCAGTAAGCACCCTGCTAGAGTCTGTGTGCACTCCAAAGGCACGCTAAAGAACAGTGGGATGTTGTACAAGAGAACTGTAATTGCTTGGGCATAGGAGAAATAACAGTATAGAAATACAGATCTCAGTCTTCAGCTGGCTTAGAAAAATTATCTGAACACTGTGTGTTTTTTCTAGTTTGCAGAAACCTATGCAATATTGTCTCATGCCTTGGAGTTACTTTAACTGCAGCACCTGATTAGCAATTAAGAATCTTACAGCATGTGGCAGTTCCAATGGCTTATAAAATAACATCAGAAGGTGTTAGTCTTGCTATTTGTTTTAGAAGAGACTCAGAAATATTAAACTAGTGGGAAACAATGCATGATTAGTATTTTTCTACTGTTTTTACTCTCTCTTTGTGGTATTGTAACAGTAATTCACCTTTGCCTTGCATTGGTAATTGTTTGGAATACAAGTTAAAAGATGGTGGAAAACTTGATCTTACCTATTTTTCATAGTTTAATCTCAGATGTGGGATCACCAGTCCTTTTTGGTTTTTGTAGGAGAGTAAGAATAGAAAGCTGTTCATGGAAAGATGTTATATGTTTAAAAAAAAAAAAAAAAAAGCAAACAGCACTATTGGTTTCTGATTGGAGCATCTTGCAGAAGAATAAATCACTGTCCTGTTCTTAGCAGCTGGAATTGACTGCTTTGTCCATTCAGGCTTGCTTAAAACGGATAATAAAAGGATACTTTTATTTCTAATTCCAGATGACATTTCCCAGGTGCCAGTCTCTTTCCAGTACATCAAACCAGTTGCTGATAGGGCTAATCCCAAAATGGGGATTGGGATGTTGGCATTCAGTCCTGATAACTGTTTCCTGGCAACCAAAAATGGTAAGTTCCTACTGTCCTCTATTAAAGGAGGAACCTTTTTGTTGTGTGTGCTTTACCCTGAGTTTGGCTTTATATTTAATAACAATAACCTGCTCTTCATACTTTACATATATATGAAGCCAGTGGATTGGAAAAGGAAGCTCACGATTCCTTCCTGCTCCATTTTCAGTGTGTGTCTCTTGGAAGGCAGAGTTCTTCACAGCCTGTTGTAGTGGGGCTTCTGATTAACACAGATGATCATGGGATTAACACTCAGGTTTTCCCTTTGACAGGCCTGAGGGCTGTTTATGTCAGGATGCAAAAGCTGTGGTTCAGAGGCAGAGCCCATTAACATCAGCATAACTGTAAATAGTTCAGTAAAAAACAGTGGAGGCTGGAAGACAAACTGAGTTCTTCTAAAGAGGCTGTGAAGCCTGTTTTTCCTTCAGGTATTCGAATGATTTCCTTTCTCTTTCTGTCAGATAACATTCCTAATGCTGTCTGGATCTGGGACATTCAAAAACTGAAACTGTTTGTAGTGTTAGAGCAGCTGTGTGCCATCCAGTCCTTCCAGTGGGATCCACGACAACCTCGACTTGCTGTATGTACAGGAAACAGCAAAGTCTACCTATGGTCCCCAGCTGGATGTGTGTCAGTACAAGTTCCAACAGAAGGTAAAGAAGGTACAGTACCCTCTGCAAGCCATCATCAGCTTTTTATTTCCACTTAGAATAATGCTTGTACCAAATTAAGTGAAGGTTTAGCTGTGGCTTACAGCTTCTTAAAGACAGGTCTTTCCATCTTTCAGAAAAAGACTGCAGATTATTTGCACTTTTCTCTACTGTACAGATTGTCCCTACTGCAGCAGTAACAAAATCAGACTCCCTATTTTAAAGCTTCTAAGGTGGGAGGGGTGGTGTGTTTTTTTTTTTTGCAGTGCATGTGGTTTACCTAGGAAAAGTGACTGGAATAAGGAGATGCTTCTTGCTGTTTTTGTAGGTGATTTCCAGATTGTTTCCCTCTGCTGGCATCCTAGTGGAGATTCCATGGCACTTCTGAGTAAGGATAACTTTTGTGTGTGTTACTTAGAAAGAGAAGAAGTGAAATAACTCTCAGATGCATTGAAGTGCTCTCAAATCTGAGGAAGAATGAGGAAAGGGGTCAAACTCCAATCTGAAGTGTTTCTATTTATAAATTATTTATTTGAAGGAGCATAATCAAACTCCAATCCATAAGGTGCTGTGAGTGTATCTGAATGACATTGCATCTAAAGTGTGGAAAACAAAGTCTGGATTTTAAGACTTCAGTTTTGATGTAATTGAACTTTCTTGCTGATTCTGTGAACTATGGAGTGTTTTTTCTAACATTGTAGCTGAATGTACATAATGTATAGATATTATTTAAATTTGATAATTTCCAATAAATATTTTGATAATTACAAACTTAGTGTGAATGTAACTAAAAAAAATGCCATTAATTTGACAGCCTCAGTCTCTGCAAAATGAATAATGACTAAGTTGGGGACATTTAACTTTACTGAAAGGTAACAATGAAGCAGATACCTTAGAGAATGCAGTGAGAGGTGCATGCCACTTGTTGCATTCCACTGTTTCAGCTTTGTGTAAGTTTCAGAAACACAGATCAAACTCAAAAAGCTACTGCAGCACAGTATTTATTCAGCATTGCAGCTGTGCAGACAAATATTCCCATAAAACCATATTTGTAGATCACAGACAATGACAAAGCTTGTTACAGTAACCTCAGGAGCACTTGTGGTTATAGTATCTCTCCCCTGCTTCTGAAATTCAGTACTGGAGGCTTGTATGAGGTTAAATGTAAGAATGTATAAATCAAGATTGACATAAACTGCTTAAAGTTCTGTCTGTTTCTGTTAGGAGGTCCCGTGCTGCTGCTGTGCCAAACTAGAGTGGATTTAAGAAAATTGCTATGAATATAAATGTGATCAAAGTAGGGTTATTCTTAAAACCATTCCTACAAATAACAGTTCTGAAGGCAAAAGTTTGCAGTGCTTTTGGCAACGCTCTCAGACAGTCTTTATGGCTACAGCAAAAGATGGTACGAAATGGCAAGTCAGATTCAGTTGAGAGAAGGAGCTACTTTTACAAAAAGCTAGTAATGTATGTTCAGCCATGTGCCTTTTGACAAAGAAATAGTTCACGTTCCCTGCTTCTGAGCACATGTAGCAGTACAGCTGTAACAAGATGTGCTGGCTCTTTTGCTAAAGAATGCCTGCTATGAGTCCTGAAAGCTGTGTCAGTCAGTCATCAATATGCTAAGATCACTGTAACTGGGAGACACTGAAACCTCTTTAAGCAATACAGATCAATCCCAAGCACACCACGTGATTTAGGGCACAACTGTCATATGGCACAGTATCTTGGACATTGTTTGCAGCAGATACTGATTGCACAGATTAACAGGGAAGAATGTGCAGTTAGAAATGGAAGAGAAAACAGCACTGCTTGCTGGCCCTGTGTAAGGGCTGTTAGTTAGCTACAAAATACAGGCATGACACCACTGTGTGTCTGCTTCAGCTCACTCTGCATCGTGCGTTCTCCTCTCCATAACAACCAGGGCCTCCTGTGAACTGCTGGTTCTGCACCCACCCCCTTTCCTTCCTGTAATTGCTTTGCTTACCAAATATTCTGCCACGCAGGGTCTTCTCCCCAGGAGCCTAGCATAAAATCACTTTCCCTTTAAAAAGACCAAATGCTGTGCATTTTAAAACCCAATTTTGCCTCTTGTCATGGAGTAGCCAAGCTTGGCCTCGTTGTTGATGAAGGACATCAATCCCACGTAAGTCTCAATCAGAAGAGGCCGCTCCAGCACCAGGACCCCATTGGCCCTTCCTGGCAATGGCCACTCCTTGTGAGCTTTCTTCACGGCCTGGATGAGCTGAGTTTTAAAGTTTTCCAACTGAAAGATTAAAAAAAATAATAATCACTGTGATGTTTTCCTCATTGTGTTACAAATCCCTCTGCTTTCATAGGGAAACAGTTGCTAAAAGTGTAAAGGGTCAACACTAAAGCTCTCATTGCTGTGGATCTCACATTCCATAATAAACTTTACATTCTGATAATTACAACTAATGTCATACAGCACTGTTTACAAGCAAACAGTGGCTAGATATGTACACAAACAAGCTATCAGTAGCCATTTTATTTTTCTGCCATTAACACTAGTGCTGAAGTTAAATTGCTGTAATGTTCTATTACAAAGTGCAAATCTGAGGAGAGCAACCACTGAAAGAAAAGAAAAAGAGAGCTACCAAGTGAAGGTTTGTGTTAGCAGCTATGTTATGTGTTTAATTAGCTGGTGAAAGTGCCAGACAAAAGTCAGCCCTTTGCCTGCCAGGTAAATGAAAGCAGGAATGGCATCAAGATCCGTTTTCTTTTGGGTTTTACAGGACTGCACTTCTGAAAGGCTTAGCTTCCTTTCTGAGTAAACCAGCTGGCAAACACTGATTCAGCTGCCCTTCAAAGCTGAGATGCAGAGAACAGGAAGATGCAGCTTGCGACCGTGTGTTGGATTTAACTGTTTCTGTCTGATTTACCCACTCTAAGCAGCACCCAGCCTGCAATAGCAAAGGCCATCTAGAATTCTAGACCAGCAGAAGTGATTCCCTTACCAGGCAGAGGGATGCAACCTTCTCATCAGCATCTGCCATCGGGTGCTCAGTGAAGGTGGCATACGGGACGTTGGTGGACCACGGGTTCCATCTGTTGATGAAGGATGCACGGCTCCTCTTGTCCCACTGGATGCGGATACCAACTCCTTCTCTCCTGGTGTTGAAGACAGCGGGGTTAATATGGGATGGCCTCCATTAGAGGTCTGAAAAAGGCCTCCTTAAAGCCAGTAGCTGTGGTACTTGGTTTGTAGCTAGTCCAAGCAAGACAGCAAGCTCCTTTATCATCTGATGGAGTTTGAATAACTGTAAACAAAGTTGGTGACAAGCAGCAATAGGAAGAGCTCTTGTGCTTTGTCCCAGGGCAAAGGCTGCCAGCACAAACTGTGTGCATCGACAGCCACGGGACTGAACTGGGACTGCATCAACTTACTTGTTCAGAGATTTAGGTGGGAACTCAAACTCTCCTACAGAGATGGTATCGATGGCATTGAGCGCAATCCTGGTGACGTGCTGGCACTGCAGGCCCACAAAGTCGTATTTGCAGATGAGAAGGGACCGGTCGGTGATGAGCACGAGGCGCTCCTTCTCGTTGTTCCAGTGGTCGATTCTGGTAAGGAAACAGAAAATGGAGCTTTAGCTGCCTGGAAACATGTAACAGCTTGTCTGCTAGCAGGGCTGCGACGGAGAGCAGAGCCAAGCCTCGGCACTGCCCTGTTTTCCATCATAGCCTTCGTTTCCCACCACCAGGCCTTGAGAAGAGGTTGAACATTCCGGCTCAGAAATGGCACAGCATAGAAAACATAACTGCTGGTAAATTATTAACTGCGTCTGTGCACGCAGAAGAGAGCAGCGCCTTTTCCACCGCTACGGCCGCGGTACTCACTCGGTCAGCAGCCACACGCTCTCCACGTCGCCGTCCTCCGTGGGCATCACGACGGCGCGGATCTCGCTGACCGCCTGCTCGATGGTGCCGGGCTGCGGGGTGGGGGGGGAAGAAAGCGAGAGGTGAGCGGACAGCTGGGCGAACGGGCCGGGGCGAGGCGGGCCGAGCCGGGCCGTACCCGGAACACGAAGTATTCCTTCAGGCGGCCGGCGCGGCTGGCGGTGCGCACGTTCAGCGGCCGCAGCTTCTGCCGCGGGGGGGCGGCGGAGAAGGGCGGCTCGGGACCCCCGGGCACCAACAGCGCCGCCGACCCCCCCGCCGCCGCCGCCGCCTCCTCGTCCTCCGGGCCGCCCTCCTCCGGATCGCGGAGCTGCAGCATCGCGGCGAGAAGGGCCGGGATGCGCCGAACGGAGCTCCGCCGCCTTCCGGGGCGGGCAGCGGGAGGGGCCGAGCCGCACCGCACCGCCCCGCATCGGGGAGGGGATGGGAGGAGATGGGATGGGATGGGATGGGATGGGATGGGATGGGATGGGATGGGATGGGATGGGATGGGATGGGAGAGCGCTGCGGGGTTCGACGGAGCGGGCGGCGCGTGGCTTCGTGCGGCTCGCGGGTTGCAGGGTGCGGAGCTGCCGCTGCAGCAGCGCTGGGTTCGGGTTCCCAGCTCTCGTGCGGATCCTGTCGTGTGCAAAAAGCCGCTCAAAGCGCAGCTGCTGCCGCTGCCGGCGCCGCTCTTCTCCTCCCGTCCGATGCCCGCACGAGCTCCCTCCCTCGTGCCTGACCGAAGGGCTCGCGTGGCTGCGATCGGGCGCAGCTGTGATGCTCCTCCATACCGCTCTGTGTGCTGAGGGCCGCCTCACCTCGCGCCTCACGCGGCCGTCCTCTCTCCCCGTTCATGTTCTCCCTGCTGCTCCCTGTCCCGTCCTGCTGTCCCGGCTTCCAGCTCGCTGTGCTCCTGTGGGGATGGACCTTATGGTTTTAGAGGTCTTTTCCAGACTTAATGATTCCATGGACTCTGATGGAGCAAATCCCCATCAGCTCCTCCTGCTTTTCCCTGCAGAACGAGTACTGTGGGAGGAGAAGGCCGGCAGCATTCCCATCCTATTCCCCAGCTCCTCCAGAACTGCTCATTTTGCACTGTGGTTCTGCACCTTCTCCCCAGCTTTACAGAGTCTCCTTGGGCAGGGATGGATTGTTTTCTGTTACAGTCCATTGGAAGACAAAATCTCAGTGAAATCCCTCCTGGTATGTTGGAAAGGGGTATCTGGGAGCTGACTTTGGCTACTGCATAAGAACTGTTTCCTGAGCAGAAAAAAAGCCAACGTTATTTCTGCTGCTGTTCTGCAGGTCTTCCCCCTCCTCTGGTGCGGCCGGGCACAGCTGTGGGAGGGATTTCTGCCCCTCAGCACAGAGAGAAAGGAGCAAGCATTGAGTGTGAGGAGCTGAGCTGGGGGGAAGCAGCTCAGCACCCCCCCAACCTCATGGGGCTGCACAGTGGGACAGGACCCAGCTCTGTGAAACCCCCACAGGTTCACATCATGTCAGGAAGCAGCTGCCAGGAGGAGAAGTCATTGTTATTCCCTGCAGCATCAGAAGCCAGGTTTGCTGTTGGCTCCCACCCAGTGCTGACACGTGCTGTGACAGCTTCCTATGGACTGCACTGAGCTGAGGAAGCAGCCGGGGGGAGGTGGGGGGGTGGATGTGCTCCATTGGTGACCCCCAGCAGTAAGGCTGCAGAGGTGCTGCCATGGAGGCTCCCATGCTGGCGCTCATCCTTGTACTGTGGATCTCTTCCCTTACTGCTGGCACTGAGCTGCAGCCCCACATGTGAGTAGCAGAAAGCATCTGGTGCCGTCCTGGGGTTGGGGGCTGCGTTTCAGAGCTGAGGGTGCAGGGGGGTGAGGGGCTGTGCTGTGCTTCTGCTTCTTTCTGTGTTCCAAAAGCACAGAGAGGTAAAGAGAAACTTGAACATCTGCACAGTCTTTGCTTGCAGGAGGCAATGCAGTGTTCTGAATGGGAGGGAAGGCAGTCAGGTTGTCGTCTGCTCATGGCCCAAGTTTAGGAAGGCACAACTGGACCTCTGCTTAATGTAGCCTTTCATTTAACAGCTCATTCCTGTTATACTAAGGAACTAAAGTTTTGTGTGTCGTCTTTTCAGAGATCTCACAAGTTTGTTTTGTATACCTGTGTGTGTGTGTATGTATATAAATACCAAACAGCAGTAGCAAACCCAGCTGGTGACGCTCTTCTGCTATTCTGAGCACAAGAGGCAGTGATTGTGCAAACAGTTCAACTCCCGCCTGTGCTTTGCACTGCACTTTGCACACCTGCTTCCCGTTGTTTCTTTCTTTTCCCCCTTTTGCTGTTATTCCAGGGGCAGGGCAGCCCTTTCTTTCCAATTAAGCATTACAGTTTGCTGTTAATCATTTGGTTGCTTTGGAAAACTTCCTTGGAGTGCAGAAGCCCAGCTGCAATATCCACAGCTCCTCCTGCCCCCCACCCGCTTTTTGGCCCCACCAGGTTGCAAGCCTGTATGCAATAGCAGCAATAATCCCAACAAATCATCTTTGGCCAGAGGCAGCATTTCAGTCTCCAGTTTAGGAATTCTTCTGGTCGTGTAATTGCTGTAATTACTGCCGTGATGATATCTGTGTCATGGTAATAAGGGAGCAAACAGAATCTGTCTTTTAAGAGGACATCAAAGGCTCTGCTCCCACCTGTCCCCTCGGCCCTTCAGTAAATCCCACTGCTTCTCCACCACAGTTCCCCACTCCAGGATTTGCTGACAGCTTGTAGAGAAATTGGGATCTGCTTTTGCATCTCTCTGCTGTGCCTCCATCTGCTGATTGGCACAGAGGGATGCTGAGGGTTTCCTTCATGGGGAGCAACGGTTCACCCTTGCTCAGCTCTGTTTGCAGAAACGTGCAGACA